GTACATAAGATGAAGTCTGAACTATCTTCTAAGGAACATTCTGACCATTCTTCTTTCAAGAGATTTCTTTGTCCTTTTGGAAGTCCACGGTACTTTCAATACTTTTTCCCAGCACCACAATTTAAACATATTGATTCTTCATTGGTCTTCCTTATTCAATGCACAACTTTCACATGCATGTAGAGCAATTGAAAATATCATGACTTGGGTCAGGTGCACCTTAGCCCTCAAAGTAACATCCTTGCTTTTCAACACTTTAAAGAGTTCTTGCGTAGATTACTCAATGCAATGCATCATTTGACCTCTTGAATGCTGCTTCCATGAGCACTGATTAAGGATCCAAGCAAGGCAAAATCCTTAACGTTAATCTTTCCTCCCTTGACCATGCTATCTATTGGTCCCACTTGTGAGCAGTCTGGTCTTCCTTATATTGAGTTGTAATCCAAATTGAAGGCTGCAATCCTTGAGCTTCCACAGCAAGTACTTAAAGTAATTCTTATTTTCACCAAGTCAGACTGTGCCATCTGCATATCCCAGGTTGTTAATAAGTCTTCCTCTAATCTTACTATCCTTCATATATTCCAGCTGCTCTGATGATTTGCTCAGCATACAGACTGGATAAGTATGGTTAGACGATACAACCCTGGCACACATTTTCTGATTTTAAACCCTTGTTCTGTTTGCACAACTGCTTCTTGATGAATCTACAGTTTTTTTCCATGAACACAATGAAGTGTGCTGGAATTCCTATTCTTCTCAAGACTATGTATAGTTTGTTGTGACCCACACAGTCAAATGCATTTTTATAGTCAATGAAACACAAGTCAGCATATCTCTGGTATTCTCTGCTTTCAGACAAGATCCATTTTATATCACCAATGATATTCCTTGTTCCATGTCCTATTCCTTATCTGGTCTGAACCTTTAGCAGCTAGTTCCCTGTCAATGTACTACTGCAACTATTGTTGATCTTCAGCAAAATTTTAATTGCATGTGATATCAATGATACTGTTCTATAATTTTCAAATTCTGTTAAGTCGCCTTTCTTTGCAATGGGTACAAATATGAGTTTCTTTCAGTCAGGCGGCTAGGTGGCTGTCTTACTTATTTCTTGGCATAGACAAGTGAATGCATCCGGTGCTTCATCACCTTATTGAAACATTTTAATTGGTACTCTGTCAATTCCTGGAGCCTTGGTTTTGGTTAATGCTTTCAGTGCAGCTTGAACTTCTTCCTCCAGGACTATTGGATTCTTATATGCTACCTCTTGAAATGGTGCAATATCCACTAGTTTTTTAAAAAATCATTTTATTAGGGGCTCATACAACTCATCACAATCCATACACACATCAATTGTGTAAAGCGCATTTGTACATTCATTGCCCTCATCATTCTCAAAACACTTCCTCTCCACTTAAAGCCCCGGCATTAGGTCCTCATTTTTCCCCTCCCTCCCTGCTCCCCCTTCCCTCGTGAGCCCTTGATAATTTATAAATTGTTATTTTGTCATATCTTGCCCTGTCCGACATCTCCCTTCACCCACTTTTCTGTTGTCCATCCCCCAGGGAGGAGGTCACATATAGTTCCTTGTAACCGGTTCCCTCCTGCCTACCCACTCTCCCTCTACCCTCCCCATATCGCCACTCACACCACTAGTTCTTGCTGGTATGACTCTGGGTATGCTTTTCATCTCCTGTGGATGCTTCCTGCTTCATCCCTCTTTTTGCTCATAGAAGTCTTTCAAAAACTCAAGGCTTCAATTTTTTTTCTTGAGTTGTCAGTTTAAGATATGCTGATTGTGCTCTTCCTTTTTGGTTTTCTAACTCTAGATCTTTGCACATTTCATTATATTTTACTTGGTTACTTTGTTTATTCAAGCACCCTTTGAAATTTTCTGTTCAGTTCTTTGATTTAATCATTTCTTGAATTTGCCTTAGCTACACTATGAGCAAGCTTCAGAGTCTCTTCTGACATCCACACTGATCTTTTCTTTCTTTACTGTCTTTTTAATGACCTTTTGCTTTCTTCATGAATAATTTTTTTATGTCATTCCATAGCTCACCAGGTCTTCTGTCATTAGTGCTTACTGTGGCAAATCTGTTCTTGAGATTTTCTCTCAGGTAGGTACTAGTGGACTTGTTTTAATTTTCTTCATCTTCAACCTGAACTTAGATATGCGCAATTGATGCTTTGTTCCACAGTCAGATCCTGGCCTGGTTTTAGCTACAGATACTGAGCTTTTCCATCATCTCTTTCCACAAATGTAGTCCTTTAGTTTTCTGTGTATTCCATCTGGAGAAGTCCAGGTGTATGGTTGCCATTTGTGTTGAAAAGGGTATTTACTATGAACAAGTTGTTGGTCTTGCAAAATTGTATTAATCTTGAGCTTCATTTCTATCACCAAGACCATATTTTCCCATGATTATTCCTTCTTTATTTCCAATTTTTGCACTCCAATCACCAATAATTATCAATGGATCTTGAAGGCATGTTTCACCAATTTATTTAGTGGTTGGTACACAAATTTGTATAATAGTTACATTGGTTGCGTATTTTTGAAGGCAGACAGATATAATCCTATCACAGACAGCATAATTCAAGATAGATCTTGAAATGTCCTCTTTGACAATAAATTGAATGGTATTCCTCTTCATTGATGGTATCATTTCTGGCATAGTAAATCATATGATTTTCTGACTACAAATTGTCAATACTAGCCCAGTTCAGTAACACCTAGGATACTAATCCTTATGTACTCCATTTCATTTTTGAAGACTTCCAATTTTCCTATTCTTATTTTGTCCATTCCAAATTCAGACCATTAGCAGCTGTTTCTTCTCACTCTGCGTTATGCCCCATCAGCAAATGAAGATTCTGTAAGCTCCACTCCCACAGGCTTTACTCTATTCCTGTTCTCAATTTACTCTACTTTAAGACAGCAGCTCCTGTTCACTTTGGGGGCCCTGCTAGTATTTCAAATACTAGTGACATAGGTTTCAGCATCACAGCACCACACAAACCACCACAACAGGACAAACTGACAGACAAGTGGTGGACCAGAGTGCATAGTTCTTAAAAATTACTCATACATTTTTTAAAAATGAAACATTTATTAACTCCTGCTAATGCTTTTCATCTTGAAATCTATTTTATTTGACACTGATATGTTATATCTAATGATCACATTTGTCTAATATTAAGGTGCTTCAAAAATTTGCTGGAAGTGGGCAAAATAACAATAATAATACATGAAGTTGGGAGGGTGGGAGACGGAGGGGGAAAAAGAGGAGCTTATACCAAGGGTTCAAGTAGAAAATATTTTGGAAATGATGATGGTAACGATTGTACAAATATGCTTGATATAACTGATGTATGGAATGTTTTAAGAGCTGTGAGAGTACCCAATAAAATGATTTTTAACGTAATAAAAAGATAATTGCATTTTCTATGAACTTTTTGAAACCCCTTTATATCATCCATTTTTGTTATTTTCAACCTCTGTCAAGTCATTCACTTCTTCTCTTTTAATAAAACACAGAGTTCCAAAGAAATACTTATTTCCTTTAACACAGTTATATTTTTGTGACTTATTTGCTTGGATCTATTCTAAGCATCTAATTTATGTTTTAATTTATTATGATTTCTACTTGGTTCCTTTTTTTCCTCCATTCCTACCTTTAATTGGGTTGATTTACCTGTTCTCTCTCTTTTTTTTGCTGTTTAAAACTTTTACACATTCCATTTCTTTTCTGATATTATTTCCCTTAAATTTTTATCACACATGCATAAATTTATGTTTGTTAATACATACACAAACAAGCAATGGATAGCACTATTAAGTATTCAAATCTTCCCCTACTTCTGTATTAAACAAACAAAACTTTGATAAGTGTGTATTTTCTCCAATTATATTCTCATCCTCCTCTCAAACAGATCTCACCTGGACTATTATTACACTTCAAGTGTACAACATACATTTAAACTTAATATTCTACTAATTATTGTGGTCACCAATAACCTCTATCTGTGTGTGTGTACTGACCATGAATGAAAAAAACGATTATATTTTTCATCAAGGATTGCCCTAAGGACTATTTTCAGAAAGAATAGTGATGTGCTATCCCAGTATGTAACATTCTGAATGGTATGCTCTTTGTTCTTCATGGGCAGCAAGGACCACCCAGGGCACCACCTGTCTCTCTCACAAATTCAAGCTCCCATATTCACTGCTTCCACCTGGAGATAATCACGGAATGATGCTGGGCCAAAGCAGAATTTCAAACAGGTTTATTCCAGTTCCAACCCCCTATTGAGAATTCATATTTCTACCCAAGATATACTGAATCATATAATTGCCATATTTAACTTAACATTTTAACACCATCTCTGGAAGATCCTTATTGATCCACAGGTGATTCTTAGCTAGAGATCAGAAACACCTAAGGATCTTGTTAGACTGTAGATTTAGATTCAGTATGTCTGAGGCAGAAATGGAAATTCACATCAGAAATATAAACCAGTTCCAAGCGCTGGGCCAAAGGCAGAATGATTATGAGATGAGCAGGTATTAACAAATAGGAAACATTGAAATAACTCACCCTATCCCCTACTAATTATCCCAGTAATTTCTATTTTCTGCAATAGCAAATACTATGTAGCATTCGCCTATGCACATTTTGGGCAATAATTTCCCTCTTTAACCCAGTCCTGTTTTCCCACATCAGAGATATCTAAGTTTTTGGTGTAATGGTCACAGAGCTTGGTATTTTAAAACATATTTTCCATGATTTTAGGGTAAAAGAAAAGACTACACTATTTGCTCAAACTGCCAGAATGAAATCCCTTTAAATTTAGATTCAGTAATTGTACTAATGGTTAATTTAATATAATACCAAAACAACCAACTGTGTCACAAGTGCAACACATTTATTATTTCAGTTTGAAACCAAGTACAATGCTTATGAATATTTTATCTATACTATTAAGAGAGAAATACATACCAGTGCATCATTTTCCTTTTGTCTGAAGTCAATATTGGCAAGTTTCACAGAACTTTCTTCTTTTTTATCTGGATGATAAAATAGTACTACTTCAAATCAATTCCAGAGATAACCAAATATAGTAGCCAATATTTAACTTAACTTCATAATTTAAAAGATCAAGTATATATTTTGTTTAAATAAAAAAATATAATTATAAAAGGCCAATTAGATAATATATAATTATTAGTAACTCTTCATGTGAACCCTGAACATGAAAAGAAAACCAGTTGACAAAACTAGTTTATTACAGAAAACCTATAATAGACTGGGGTTCAAACTTTTTCCAAGTTCAGTCATGGCTAACAAAACAAAAATTAAATGAAGTGCCCTGCTATAAACTTAATAACAAAGGCAGCATCTGCATTGCCTAGCAACCAAATCTCTTGACTGGCAAAGTCTGAAACAGTGGTATCTGGTATTTCAAAGATGATGCTAAGCAAGGTGTTTCAAATGTGTATCACTCTCCACTATGCTGGTGGTGGTCACCAGCATCAGGTGCCTGAATGGGCTGACTACACCTCTTTTGAATCTTCCACTCCAGGATTTTGATTTTGAATTTTTCCCATGTCGGTTATTTTTCCAGTATACCCACATTTTGCAAATTTTAAGTCCTTTCCAATTTTGCTGCATAGACCATGACTGAACTGGTTCAAACTAATTTAAAGCCATCAACAACTGAAGACCAAAAAGATGAGCCTAATAAATAGAGTAAATCTAATCTGTAGATTCATTAAATTTAAATATCTGTTAAATCACATACATCATTAACACAACTACCTACTTCAATAACACATTCTAATACATCTCCTTAAATAAAAAGTAAACAAGTATTCATCTTTTTGTGGCATTTGTGCAATTAGACCACATATTTAAATCAGTGTATGTATGTGTGATTGCCCGATCAAAGAAAAAAAAGGTATAGGATGGCCTAACTTGCTTTTCTCTCTCAAAAAGAATCAAAGTGTTACTTTCCTGAGTCTATAAGCCTCCAGAATAGATTTTTCTTATTTAATGTAACAAATGATAGCTAAAATTGCTTCTTTTCTATTGTACAGAGGCTCCAAAAAGTTCATGGAAAAATGAAAATAAAAGATAATGAAGTTTCTCCATGAACTTTTTAATGCTCCCTCACAATGGGAAAGTTATAATAATTTCTAATAATAAATTTCTAATAATTTCTAACAATAAATTTCTAATAATAAATAGGTACTGTACCTGTAACTCTTAGTTCAGAAGAATGCGTCATTATTGGTCTTACTAGTTTATGAGATTCATAAGAAATAATTAATTGTTTGTTTTGATGGGTTTTATCCAACACAATTATATGTTCATCCTTTTCAAACACTCTGAAGAATAAATTTTAAAGAATTTTTAAAACATCAAAAACATTTTAAACCAAAATTTTATCCGCTAAAAGCATGCTTTAGACTTCAGAGTACTACAAAACTTAAAAATTTATTCACAAACAAATCAACTAGCCTTACTGAAATAATCAAAGCATGAGTCTTTTAAGATTGTTACTGAAGCATCATTTTACTGAATTTTTCCTAAATTCACGTAGAATAAAAACTGTAAAATATATATTAAGAAAAATAATTGTTTCCCTCAATATGCAAACTGTTTTAAAGATTGTCAATAAAGTAAAATTCTGTACATAGATATATTTTTCCATTCAATTTCATTAAAAAATTTAAAACATATTACCAGAGATATGAAACATGGGAATAAAATAACAAAGAAAATTAATGGGCTGGGGTATTAACTTGAGAAAGGAGTATGCTGAAAACTCTGAGTAAGGGCAACGGAGGCTGAAGAAAAGAACATAAGAAGAACCAAGAGGAATGTAACAAAGAGGAAGTGCTGAAATCCTGGTGGGGACTGAGCATGATAGTGGGACAGGAGGAGAATCAAGGGAAATAGAGGAAAAAGCTGAGAGGCAAAGGGCATTTATAGAGATCTAGATAAAGACATGTACATATACAAATATATTTATATGAGGATGGGGAAATAGATCTATG